AATTCTGGGAGTTGAAGTCCACTCATCTTAAAGTGGCCAAGTTTGGACAACACTGGTTACGATATGGGCATCACAGGGGGCGGGGCAAGACTAAGGTGTTGTTGGGTGCATCATGACAGCGTCAGGCAAATGATATGATGACACATTTGTGTCATTTTGTAATGTTTTGTGAAATGTTGCATCTGAGATATATAGGAAGACTAAAATCTCATGAGATTTCAGTGCTCCTGCACAGAGCTCAGATGATATCCACACTCTTGTGAGATTTGGTGATCTCACAAGGTCTCAGCCCTTAAGAAAAAAAAAATCTAATTTAAATTTGAACTGGTGGGGTGGTTTGCATTGTTTTTTGGAGACTGGATGTTGGGGTGACTGTGTATACTATATTCCCAATTTCACTGTACCCACAAGGAATAGGATCCCCTGAGTTCTTTGTCATCAAAGATGGAGCCCAAAGGATCGCTGTCTCCTCCAAACTAAGAAACCTGGGGAAACAAGTTCCACCGTCCACCATCAGCAGAGGGATCAGGGATTGTTGTGGCAGGTTCCACCAGCAAGAAACAACTTCCCTCGACCGTCACAGCCCACTTGGGTCAGGGGACAGCAGGGGGACAGCAACATCGACAATTCTAACCACAGGGATTTCACCAAAAGACATTGGTAGGGTAGCAACTGGGTGGAATCATCTCTGTTCATTAAACATTACAAGATAGACAACTTTGCCTCTACAGATTGGGCCTTTGGGTGCCTGGTGCAATGGAGGGCGCTTTACTCGTCCATAAACTTTTGGACTACCATACTATATCTCTTTTCTGTTGGCTCCATCTTTGTTGACCAAGAATGGTAGTTCACCATGAAGTTCCTTTCTGGTTACCAAAAGATGGACTTGATCCTCTCGCCCTACAAGAAGGGAATACATTCAGAAACAGTTCAAGGCACCAAAGGTCAACCCAACAGCTATTCTACAGTGCTGGTTGACTGTTCTACATTGTTCTTTCATTTTCTCATGGTCCTTGCCAATGGCAAGTTTTTGTTGCTATTCTTCAAGAAAAAAGAAGTTGATCTACATTCAGCCGGAGTCAATGCCTGCAGCTGAAGGGAGGGAGTTCCTCCAGAGAAGCAATCTTAAGCCCTGTCTTCTGGGGAGGAGAATTTTTTTCCCCTCAGCTCCATCTTTCGATAACCCTACAGTTCAGTGACTCTTTTTTCAGACATGGATGAGACTGTCTTGGGATTTGATCTTCCTTAAATAGGATCTTGCTGCTTTCATCAGAATTACAACAAAAGCAGCATTGCAAGCTCCGCCTCTTTTTGAGGTAGGTATGTGATGTCATGACTTATGTACAAAAGGTGTGGAGCTTATTGGCACCACACGTCTTTTGTCCTTCCACCCAGTGCAGAAAGGATTTAAATTGACTAACCCTGGACTCAGCATCTGGGTGTATATTGCAAATTTAATCAGTGAACGATGTACTAGCTGCAGTACCTAACATGCTAAGCTTGGTTAGTGTCAGTGCTGGTTAGGGTTTTTTTGTGACTTACTGTGTTGGGCAAACCCAGTCAGATTGGTTAGTCTATGCTTCAGTGGCCTACATTCATGCAACGCGCCCAACTTTGTGGTGTTCCTCAGAAGGACAGACGAGATCATGCACATGATGACATCATTGAACAAATGTCATGATATGCATGACATCCTTGTGGCTTCTAGTTCACCTGTTCCCGGAATTAACCCTATATGTTTTGTGCAATATGGGAACATCTCTGTGGCACCCAGATCCCTACGTTGCAGACCCCGGAGCTAGGCAGCAATCTCTCGCTTCCTGGGTTCGCCCAAACCATTAAATGCTATTCTCAGCTACCAAAACATTGCCGAGAATCAGGAGTATCTACAGCAGTATACCTCAACCATGGGAACTTGAAGATGTGTGGACTTCAACTCCCAGAATTCCCCAGCCAGCCATGCTGGCTG